CGTAAGATTTGTTAAATAAAAGGGAACTCTTTAGCTACAATGTATCAATGTTATGTTATAAAACAAATGGTAAACACCACAGCGTACACTATTGAGTTATGGATGCACTTGGGAGGTTTGCTAAGCACTCAAGAAGCTAGAGTCGCTCTCGGCTATCGCCTCGAGCGACTCTTACGCTTCTTTCGTGCTTAGCAACCTCCCGCGTGCATCCATAACTCAATAGTTTACGCTGTGGTGTTTACCATTTGTTAATTGTTTGTTGCCGACCTACTGGGTAAGAAGCAAACCACTTGTTCACTATTCCACGTATTCTATAATAATTGAGCTTTTGCAATAATATTGAATGGTCGACCGTGTCGAAGGCATTCCTCAAGTCAATGAATATACCACACGAATACATCTTTTTGTCCATGTTATTTTCAATTTGACTGATTATGTTTAATTTCAAACCAATTTTTTTTTAATATTTGTTGTATCTGTGTGGCATACACTAAAAAAATTATTACCTCAAGAACGGTGGGGGATATTTTCCGAGCCACTAATGACTGTTGAAATATTCAGCTTTATTTTCCTATCATGCATAATTTGTTTAAAGTAGAAAAACTGTTCTCGTCTTTGAATCTTCGACAGCAACGCAAGTCTAACTTTGTTAGTAATGCATGTTGGAATGAAATTTTGATGAACAAAAACATGTTAGAAAAAATCAATCCATTATTTATGTCCATAACTTACAGATTTTTTTTAAACTGACTTTAGAAAAGTGCAAAACATCCGTTTGTTGTGTCTTACATTAAAAATAGAATTAATTTATAACTACTCATGTTACTTTTACTTATTATCATTTTTCATTAGAGGGAATTACATTTTCCTTCACTACATGTTATTCCGACTGGAAGTTTTTAAAGGCTATAGCTGTTCCCTTGGCCTAATGAACGACCCTTTTCATTTGCTAGTCAGAAACTTCTCTCCTGAAGCAAAGATGCACTAGTAGCCGATTTTTAATTTTGGAAAATAGTGGCCGATATTCGATTTTCGACACCAGTGGCTAATTTTGGATTTGGACACTAGTGGCCAATTTCTGATTTTACTCACTAGTGGCCGATTTCCGCGTTTGGACACTAGTGACCGATTTTAATTTGGATGATGGACCTTACTCAAACTGTCCCTAGTTACCAAAAAGGCAAAACTTCCACTGAAGGCCTAAATGGCAAAACTGCAACTAGTGGCCAAAATAGCAAAACTGTCACTGGTGCCAAATTGGCAACACTACCACTACCGGCCAAAATGGCAAAGCTGCCACAGGTGGCAAAAATGAAGAGACGTCCACTAGTGGCAACGAAGTAAAACTGCCACTAGTGACAAAAATGGCAAAACTGCCACTACAAACCAAAATGGTAAAACTGCCACTAGTGGCTAAAATGGCAAAACTGCCACTAGTGGCCAAAATGGCAAAGCTGCCAATAGTGGCCAAAGTGGCAAAACTACCACTGATGGCCAAAATAGAATAAGTGCCACACTGGTGGCCAAAATGAAAAAGCTAACACTAGTGACCAAAACGGGAAAACTGCCACTAGTAGCCAAAATGGAAAAGGTGTAACTAGTGGCTAAAATGGCAAAACTGCCACTAATGGCCAAAATGGCAAATCTGCCTCTAGTGGCTAAGATCACAAAACTGCCACTGGTGGCCAAAATGGCAGAAACTGTCACTAATTGCCGAAATGGCAAAACTGCCACTAGTGGTCAATTCACGATTTTTTAAGAAACTAGTGGCCGATCTTGGATTTTGGACACTAACGGCCGATTTCCGATTTTGGACACTGGTGGGGGATTTGTCAGTATGATTATTGTTAGTACAATAAATTGCTATGTTATCTATTAGTTGAATGTCAATAAGTCGATACACGCTTGAATCATCTCCTTTTATGGAAACGGTACTCATATATAAACTTGTGGGATTTGCATGTGGATAACAATCTTCAGCAATTCTACTTTCTTGCGTCATTATACAATCTCTAGTTCTTTCAACGCTGTAAAAATTGTGTTGTATTAATACCCACATGCAGTTTGAACTTTAATATTTATTTCTGTTTAAAGAAGATTTATTAGCTTTTTTTAATTTCTAGTCTAATTTTACAGATATAGCCTTAAAAATTTCACTTGTCGTCGCATGCTCTCGGTTTTTCGGATCAAAAGAAAAAACTATGTACAATCTGAGAGGAACCGGCATTAATTTGTGCGCACCTAAATTTAATTTCAATTTTATGAAAAAATCTTTCTCTTATATGTGTGCGCAGCTGTGGAATGGATTACCTTCAAGTGTGAAACTGGCCAACAATATCAACCTTCTTAAGAAGCTATTGCGAACACTGAAACTTTACTAGCTGCCTCACCATTTTATACCTGTATTTCAGTGACTATGAATTTTTATTGTACAAACTTAAATTTTATTGTTAATTTTAAGTTATTGCAATTTCTAATCTATTAGGTCTTGACAGTATGTATTAGGTTTTCTAGATTCTTAATCTTAGAGGCACGTACCGTATTTTGAACTAGCTCCACTAGCTCCTTGACGCTACGTGGGTAAATAAAATATTGATTGATTGAAAAGTTTAAAATCAACTGTTTCAGTCACACGATAAATTTCGATCAGTTGAATTAGTCTAAGCAGTAACATATATTAACAGAAAATTCATGATTTCTATCTGCCATGATAAGGTTTCGGGGTTGATGACAGTGACGGTCAATGCATTTAGACGGATCATGCAGCGACTGACCATGATTAATTCAACGCAAGGAGTGCAAACGAGAAACATTTTCATAAAAGATGTTGTGCTTTTTCATCGTGGTAAAGAACAATAAAAATGAAGTATTATCGAGATAGTCTGTTATGATCAGTGGATCGCGACGTTTCGATTGCATACTCCTAATCGTCTGATGAAGACTGCATATTGCTTATTGCCTGATGAAGACTGCATATTTCTTATCGCCTTATGAAGACTGCATATTGCTTATCGCCTGATGAGGACTGCATATATCTTATCGCCCGATGAAGATTGCATATTGCTTATCGCCTGATGAAGACTGCATATTGCTTATCGCCCGATGAAGATTGCATATTGCTTATCGCCCAATGAAGATTTGCATATTGCTTATCGCCCGATGAAGATTGCATATTGCTTGTCGCCTGATGAAGAATGCATATTGCTTATCGCCCGATGAAGATTGCATATTGCTTATGCCCGATGAAGATTGCATATTGCTTATCGCCTGATGAAGACTAGCAGTATGCAGTCGAAACGTCGCGATCCACATCATAAGTGACTCTATCGTGAGACAAACGATAATACTTCATTATTAGAGAAACATTTTTACACTTTTTAGACGAGATTCTATATCTTAATGTCAAATGAGTGATAATCTTGCAGCTGGGAGAAGTTTTTTCTGAATTTAAGACAGCGTCTTTGCACCAAAATATGGTGAGTAGCTAGATTTGAAAAGTATGGTATTTACTTAAAGTGTCTGCTGCTCATTTCACGACGTGTCTTTAAACGGGTGTTAAAAGGTTTCTCTTAGGACCATCTCTGATGCACGATCCTCGCAGTAGATAGCGCTCTTTATGCAATAGCGAAAATCAGACTTGAAAAAAATCAGGCCTGTACGGGACTCGAACCACTGACCTCTGCGATACTAGTGCAGCGCTCTACCAATTGAGCTAACAAGCCAACTGGGAGCAGGCCGTTAAGTTGATTCGTAATAAACCCGTGAAAGTGATAAATGAGATACAATGAATATATGAAGTTCATATATTTTGAACTGCGGTATTAGATACGTATGATGCACGATCCTCGCAGTAGATAGCGCTATTTATGCAATAGCGAAAATCAGACCTGAAAAAAATCAGGCCTGTACGGGACTCGAACCACTGACCTCTGCGATACTAGTGCAGCGCTCTACCAATTGAGCTAACAAGCCAACTGGGAGCAGGCCGTTAAGTTGATTCGTAATAAACCCGTGAAAGTGATAAATGAGATACAATGAATATATGAAGTTCATATATTTTGAACTGCGGTATTAGATACGTATGATGCACGATCCTCGCAGTAGATAGCGCTATTTATGCAATAGCGAAAATCAGACCTGAAAAAAATCAGGCCTGTACGGGACTCGAACCACTGACCTCTGCGATACTAGTGCAGCGCTCTGCCAATTGAGCTAACAAGCCAACTGGGAGCAGACCGTTAAGTTGATTCGTAATAAACCCGTGAAAGTGATAAATGAGATACAATGAATATATGAAGTTCATATATTTTGAACTGCGGTATTAGATACGTATGATGCACGATCCTCGCAGTAGATAGCGCTATTTATGCAATAGCGAAAATCAGACCTGAAAAAAATCAGGCCTGTACGGGACTCGAACCACTGACCTCTGCGATACTAGTGCAGCGCTCTACCAATTGAGCTAACAAGCCAACTGGGAGCAGGCCGTTAAGTTGATTCGTAATAAACCCGTGAAAGTGATAAATGAGATACAATGAATATATGAAGTTCATATATTTTGAACTGCGGTATTAGATACGTATGATGCACGATCCTCGCAGTAGATAGCGCTATTTATGCAATAGCGAAAATCAGACCTGAAAAAAATCAGGCCTGTACGGGACTCGAACCACTGANTTTTTATTCGTTTCACTATTCTTAAAATGAAAACAAACGTTCAGGAAAAAATAGTGAAGCCTACAGTTTGTTCATTTTTGTTGTGAACACGTTGGGAGCGGCGATGGTTCTCACGAAGTAGGGGGATAAATTACTCGACTGTCTCTGAAGAGTTTTTTCTCCTACACCTGTTTAATTCAAACTACCACAAGGGCTAAGCCGACTAAACGTTATTAAAATGATAAGCTAGTGAGCAGCGCTGCACGAAATTAAATGAAAAAAACTTGTTCAATCTTCTACGCATTTCGTCTGACAATAGCAGGTTTTATCGGGAAGATTTTTACAAGTTGGGTAAATGAATTCGCATTTATAAAAATAACGGATAAACTATCTATTTTTTTTACCTTATTTAATACTGAGATACAATGAATATATGAAGTTCATATATTTTGAACTGCGGTATTAGATACGTATGATGCACGATCCTCGCAGTAGATAGCGCTATTTATGCAATAGCGAAAATCAGACCTGAAAAAAATCAGGCCTGTACGGGACTCGAACCACTGACCTCTGCGATACTAGTGCAGCGCTCTACCAATTGAGCTAACAAGCCGTACAGGCCTGATTTTTTTCAGGTCTGATTTTCGCTATTGCATAAATAGCGCTATCTACTGCGAGCATCGTGCATCATACGTATCTAATACCGCAGTTCAAAATATATGAACTTCATATATTCATTGTATCTCAGTATTAAATAAGGTAAAAAAAAACAGATAGTTTATCCATTATTTTTATAAATGCGAATTCATTTACCCAACTTGTAAAAATCTTCCCGATAAAAACTGCTATTGTCAGACGAAAGGCGTAGAAGATTGAACAAGTTTTTTTCATTTGATTTCGTGCAGCGCTGCTCACTAGCTTATCATTTTAATAACGTTTAGTCTTAGCCCTTGTGGTAGTTTGAATTAAACAGGTGTAGGAGAAAAAACTCTTCAGAGACAGTCGAGTAATTTATCCCCCTACTTCGTGAGAACCATCGCCGCTCCCAACGTGTTCACAACAAAAATGAACAAACTGTAGGCTTCACTATTTTTTCCTGAACGTTTGTTTTCATTTTAAGAATAGTGAAACGAATAAAAAATGACGTAAAACGAAGGATGCCTAACACTGTCATAGAGCTAACTAAGCCTCTGCCAATAATAACGGTTGGTAGCACACGTCAGCGAGTAAATAACAATGGTTGGTAGCACACGTCAGCTAGTAAATAACAATGGTTGGTAGCACACGTCAGCGAGTAAGGGCAGCTGTCTGATACAAATTGAAGCTGAAATTAATTTTCCCTTATCAAGTGCAATCTCACTTTTAGATCCGTCCAATAATATTGAAAAGCCAATCGCCGATTCAAAGCCAGCCGATTAAATTCTAACTCGTAAAGCTAAGATGACTTGTGTGGTGAGTTACAAAAACGTCAAACTTATGATGAAAACTCTTGCTAACCGCAATACGTTTGAATTAAGGAAACATTTTGCTTGGGTCAGCAAGGGATCACAGTAGGATTCTGTATACAGGTAATTAAGAGCCTCGGGGATATATAATTTCTTATTCATAGTCTGATGAAGAAATCAGAGGATCACTCCAAGTCGAGCATTGTAACCTTAAACAGCAGCCTCTCTTCGATGGCCACAGATCGCCATTTAAAACTTTATTATTACTGTATGACAAGGGGGTAAGTTTCAGCTGTGTCCTTGGGGCGTACGACAAGATGATTTCATTTGGTTTTACCAACTGAGTTGATATTGTAAATTAGACGCCATAGAGAGATTCTAGAGGTGACGTTTCGTGAATGCGCAGTAGCCCCTCCTCAGCCCTCAGGGAAAAATTTTCCACTGGTTAGGTAGCCTATGAATGACGTCTTTTTCGTAGAGTCCCAAAAAGTTGTTAAGGCTTTTTTTTTTCTATAAAAGCACACCGGTAAGTGCTTGTACCGGATCTGCAGACCGACTTCCTTGTCAGATACTCTTCGTAGACAAATTATGCAGAACTGACCACATCATGCAAAAGAACATTCTGACTTAATTGATTTTCCTGCTTTTTTTACGAGAGCACTGAAGTATTAACTGCAATTTTTCTGAAAATATATAAAGCATGTATGTGAGCAAAGAATTAAAACAGTTTAAAAGTCCTGATCATTAATGATTCCTGAAGGAGTCCATGAAAGAAATATTTTCGGCATATTTCAAACGAAAATTTAAAGGAAATGACATTTAGAAAAGCCCAGAATACAGGTCATTTCAACGGTGATAATGCGTAGCCGAAAAGCACTGCTAACATGATGATATTCACCTACTTTAATTCAATTTTTTTTCAGTGATCGATATACGAGCTGCTATTGGTTCTCACTTATTGCAGGGTTACTTGGCATACGGTAGCTCTACGTTGTTATGGCAGCTTTGAAAATGGTTGAGCGTTTTTCGTGGCATTGACACGGCTCCAGCGCTAACGATTTTTCATGTCCGGTTGGTTTCCAGCCCCGGCGGGTTTTTAGCTCTGCTGGGTTTCCGTTGCCCCAACGGGAATTTTGATTTCCTGTAACTGTGAGACAACGGTAAGTTAGGAATGTATTACCTAAAAGAATCACTTTTTTATCTTCACAATCTCTCTATGTGGTGTCTTGTTTTCTATATATCAAAAATATGCAACAGTCCAATACGTATCTCGTTAGCCGCCCTGTATATTGGACGGGCACATATTGAAGACACTGACTATGTCGTTTAGATTCTCTAATAGTATTTTGTTTTTATTTAAGCAATAGAACACCTTATTCCAGGCTCTGTAACGTGATAAAGCCACTTGGAATGCTGGGAGAACACTCGGAAAGTTTATATGACATGACTAGTACATGCGGCTCTATGACCCGATAAAGCATCTGCTTGGCAATTGAATTGAACAATCAGACATGCGTACCATGTTCATCATGTTATAATTTACTATGAATGACTAGACCAAGCTATCTTGTAAGAAATAGTCGCGGTATATATTTTTTAATATTTTTTAATATTTTTTAATATTTTTTTATCCCTCCTAGTACCGAAAATATGAACAATAGAGCAAATAGAGAGCGAATTCGAAAGCCACTTACGGTCAACAACGACTGAGTGTCATATTGGACGGAATAACTCCCTGTCAGCCACAAAAAAAATAATAATTAAGCCTTAACCGCATTTCTTTTGGAATTGAAATGAAAATAAAATGACACAGCTATTTCTCGCATTATTAATAAGAGACCCATGGGCCGAAGACAATTCCAACACTTGACAACGATTCAGAACACTTGTCTTTCATAATTTGTTAAAACATTTAAGAAAACGATCACTATCAGAAAAATTATACAAAATAATGACACAAAGCTAGACAAAGTGAAGACGCTTTTAATACTTGTCAAATTTGTGAAAACTTGTCGTCGTAATTGAGCAACTTATATTTTCTAGGCAACTTTGTTTGGTCTTTTAATGACAAGTAATCAGTACAGTGACGTTATCAATGTTGCGCCATAAAAAGAACAAACCCACGCACGAAAACGACCAAACCCACGCACAGCTTAGCATAATTGAGGATGTGAAGTGGCCAGGCCATAATTAACGGTGTTTTCTTGCGTCTATCTGAGAAATAAGGTCAACGACCGGTGAACAGGACAAGGCAGTTTCAAGACTGAATGATAAATTTTTATCAGTCGGTATTTGTAGAAAAAAATTTAGCTTTTTAATCGTAATTACATTTGTCCGCACGAATTTTGTCGAAGAAAGTGATCATCGGGACATTCAAATCTACGGTGTAGCCAGCTCATTAAAAAACCAAAGCACGTTTTCCAGCGGCATAGTATAAAATCTGGACTCTGGACTCTGGACTCTGGACTCTGGACTCTGGACTCCACATTTTTTCTCAAGATTTTTAAATGAAAAAAAAGAGAAAATTTAAAAAAAAGGAAAAGAAAATGCAAATAAAAATGTTTAAAACTTTCAAAACATAGTTTAAAAAAAGTTTATTTTCGGTGAGACGAGGAGTGTGAGACGAATTCTTCTATTCATGCCGTCAAACGAACGGCAAAGCATTATTCATCGCGCGTAAATACCATGCCATGTCTGCCATTGTTAATCGAAAAGAACGAGAAGGATTTTAAAATTCGTCTTTCAATTCAAAAGTTCTGTTACCAAAACTGAACAGCGCGAACTGTGTCGAACTGTGTCAAGTGTCAAACGTAT